AGATCCCTCTTCAAGAGATATGAGCAATGTCTTGGCTATAATATTAAATTTTTTAATATCTATATCTTGACCAGGTTCTAAGGATAAACTTTCATTATCCACCATTTCTTTTTCAATTTCTACTATTACTAAAAACTCAACGTTGGTACTCAGCTCTTCACATTCTCTAAATTTGATGCTAATAAACTCTTCAAGATCATTAATATCGTAAATCAGATCATCCTCACTACTTTCGCTATTACTTGTATCAGTAGGCATTTCAACATTTGGAAGAATAGATGAAATATTTCTATCATCAATTGTGTCAGATGATTTGTCTTTTAATCAGGTTTTTCTTTTTTTTATTTTATCTTTTTTAGCACAGTTATTACATGTGTCAAAGGTTTTAATATCACTTCCGCTATGTATTATAAATTCAGTTACTAATTTGAACTTATGGCAATGAGAACACCATTTATCATTATTAGAGTTGTAAGTTGGATTGTTAGAAGTAGACATTATTAAATAGAATCAATTTGGAGATTTTAGTAAAAACTGATTTAGAGATTTCGTAGAATGCTAATTTATAGAAGTCTGTGTATACTATATCTACTTTAAGTTGATATACATTATTTATACGATGACAAGCTTAATAAATTTCAAAAGCAATACTTTATTTTTTTAATAATGTGACAAATTAGTTTAAAAGCTTAATAAATTTCAAAAGCGATGCTTTATTTTTTAATAATGTGACAAATTAGTTATAAATTTCGAAAACAATGCTTTATTTTTTTAATAATATGACAAATTAGTTTAAAAGCTTAATAAATTTCGAAAGAAATACTTGATTTTTTTAATAATATGACAAATTAGTTTAAAAGCTTAATAAATTTCGAAAGAAATACTTGATTTTTTTTAATAATATGACAAATTAGTTTAAAAGCTTAATAAATTTTGAAAGCAATACTTTATTTTTAAAATTTTACAAGCTTTCGCCTGATTTATTAACATATAAGCGTGTTATATAATTTTAATTTTAACTATATTAAAGTTACAATAACTATACTAAAATTACAATGCAAGTTTTTGTCTTTGTATATTAAAGTATTATTGTGTTATTAGATGTTTATTAACGTTCGCTCCTTTGTAAAATATAAATTTTCATTTTTCTTTACATATTATCATATACTGATTTATTAGTGTATGATTGTATTTATTACTAACATTAATTAGCAGGATAACCTAATTTTTTACTCGATTTTACATACAGTATACTGATTTATTAGCATATAATTGGATTTATTAGCATATAACGATAATTCTGTAATTTCGTTATATTAATAAATATAGTTTTTGCGTAACAAATGATTTATCGGGCTGCGTCAGAGGTCGGAAGAGATCGTTGATCACGTAATCTCGACATTTTTTTGCCATGACTAACCCACTT